ACACACACATACAAACAAAAACAGTCAAAGTTAATAAGGATACTGTCACATTTGGTAAACATGGACTCAGCTAAAACTTGGGTCAACACATTTGACATGTCAAATATTGCCAAAAAAGTTCCTTTACAAAACTTAAATAAGCCATGACAACACTTTTAATTATGGATTTAAAACATATTTCAATTGCCACGCCACTGACATCTGACAAGAAATGAAAGAGACAGCTGAAACCTGTACCTCTTTGTTTGTCTGACCGTTTGTTTACATTATTAGCAGTTAGCATGTTAGCATTCTTGGCCCATGATTGAATTAGCTAAATACTATTACAGCCAGGTTTCTTTACAGAACTCATGAAACCCCGAAAACACTTTTAAATCAAGGGGAAACGTGAGCTTAAATAAAATAAAACGATGCGAAAGGGATAATACTGATATATGCTAGCATGCTAAACTGTATTAGCATACATCGTAAATAATTAAAAGGAAAAAAAAAATAAAACACACCTCTCCGGATTTCTCCCATCAAAATATACGAAATCCCCGTTCTGAATGCACCGGCGCAGGTCAGTCTGCGTCTGGCGGTGTTGCAAAGCGGACATCTCTCCACGGCAACAAACAGCCCCTCTGCATCATCCAGCGCCTCAACCATGACCGCGGCGCCAGCGCCAGCGCACGCCGGCTGAAGGTGCTGCACAGGCGGATGGGGTCGTGAGGGCGCCCGGCCTCATACCAGACTCTGGATGCTCTTCACCGGGCCCCGAAGACCGGGTTCGCCTGATAAGGTACAAGCCATGATGATAGAGGCACTATGGATAATAAAAGCCTATTAGAAACGTTCACTCTGAGATTTACATGATTTCGTGGTTGAAAATACTAAAATAAAACTCTGGTCCTAATGTCTCTATAACTACTAGCTGTGTGTGATGGCTGTCTGCCCTACGTACCATCTGACGTATGTTTGTGTATGTGCTGTCACGTGTGTGCTGTGTGGTAGTGGGGTTCCTTTACCATAATAATAATAAACATTTACCATGATAATAATAATAAACATACTTGAATCTATGTTTTTTTTTTCTTTTTATTGAGCACCAAAGCAGGACATAAGAATGATTTCTCAAGGCTCATGTGACATTGAAGACTGGAGTAATGGTGCTGAAAATCCAGCTTTGTCATCACAGGAACACATTTTATTTTTGAAATATTCAAATAGAAAAGAGTTATTCAAAATTGTAATCATATTTCAAAATATTAATCTTTTTAAAGTAATCAAACAAAAGCCTTGGTGGTGACTGGTGAGCATTAGAAACTTTCAAAAACACAAATAATCACACACATGAATAGTATCCAAAAGAGAAGTGTTCAAATTTATTTACCTGCATCAGCAAGAAGCAGTTCAACATGTACAAGAGGGACAAAACATAGTCATAACTGAAGAGGATACTTTCTGTCTCCATTCGAGAGTCCACATAGGGTAAAGCTGAATATTTTAACGAATCATTTACTCTTTACAGTACACTTTTAGGATGCTCTGTTATCTCAGCAACCCTCACTAATGCAGACATTACAAAGTAAACATAAAGACAATAAACCAAGTGCAATAACACAAGTTAGATTCAATTATTGCATTCAAATCTTTAAAGTACCTCTAACACATACGAAGCACATCATTATATTCACATTAAGTGCAGTGCTTCTACTGCTTCCTGAACCCTTTCAAGATGGGGTAAATATTTTCAAAGGCTTCATAGATCTCTGCCCGCTCTTTTGCACCTGAAATCATAATACCATAAATAGATTTACAATGCATGGCTGCTGAATATGTTTTTAAGAATGCACTCAGTTAGATTATGCTAGAGAATTACCTGTGAGCACAACTTTCCCAGATACAAAAATCAGCAGCACAATACGTGGCTTCACCATGCGATATATCAAACCAGGAAACAACTCCGGCTCATAGCTGTAGGGGTAAAATGGTCGACTGGTTAAAGACAGATGTTACGATGTAGTCAAGTCATATAATATTGTGGGCTAGTAGCCATCAAACTAATTTATGATTCGACAGACGCCAGTCCAGACCTGCTGAACTGCTGGTGAGTGAGGACCAGGCCTTCCAAGCGTATAGGAAAGCAGACATCACAACTTCCAACCATGTTTTGGATTTTGAAGTCAAGGAATTTGGCAGGGAAACCAAGTTTCTGTACCACCCGAGCATATTTCCGTGCAGCAAGGCGAGATTGCTCCTCACTGCTTGGAAAGATAAACAAAGGAAAAGGGAAATATAGGGTAAAAGACACATGTAAGACCATTTCTGAGCTAAGTTTGTCTGTTTTACAGCCGTACTACCCTAATGCATTATAGTTAGGAGTTTTGAATATATATATACCTCTTGGCTCCAGTGCAGACCATTTTTCCAGAGCTGAAAATGAGAGCGGTAGTTCTTGGTTCACGGATCCTCATTATAACTGCAGCAAAACGCTATACATAAGAAAAAAATGGAGTTATGATAGTGAAAATACCTGGAACAGTATATCATAAAGAAATTGTTCACCCAAACATGAAGATTATCAAGTCAACAGAGTAAAAAATGACAGAATTTACAGGAACTGAAAGCTAGATAATGTTTGTCTTTTTTAAAACAGTTCTATCTATACAGTGTAAATAAACTTCAGTAGTAAAGTACCTTTGGGTTGTATTCAGCATTTCGAGCTTGAAGTGCAATGGATTTGAGATCCAGAGGACAAGCAAGATTCACTGTTGACACAATATTCCTGTGTATAATCAAAAACTGGTTTGGAAATATAGACTGGCATTGGTTAACAGATGCATTTCTCACTAAAATCTAGCATCCAGTGGCGGGTGGTTTAAAAGTAATCACTCTTTACATGTACAAAGGTAACTGACTTACTACAAACATTTGTTTTGGTGATATTATGGAGTCAATATTTTACAGCCTTTTCTGCAACGCTTGAAAAAGAAACTTGGATACACGCTCTTCATATTTTCCCTATATAATGCCTTACTGTAATTGTGGGATGATGCCTGAACTCTCTGTCACTGGGGTCATGGGGGTCATAGGAGTCATGGGAGTCATCGGGAGGTTGAACTGTGAGGTGTTTTTGGCAAAATTACTGGTGTCAGTATCTGCCTCTGCCGACTCTCTCGGTGGACCGTCGGTGTAGACACCACTGTCCTCATTCCTGCTGTCATTCTCAGACTGTGGCGGCTCATCTTGAGTGCTCAGTTCATCGGGTAAGAAGCTAAGGTCCAAGTCCTCAGTGAGATCTTTCTCCTGAGAGGTTAAAGAGGACAGGAAAGAGGAATCCTGGAGCTGAGGAGCAGGACCCTGTAGGCCCAGATCCCCCTCAAAGATGTAATCAGATGAACCCTTAGAAGAACAAGCAAAAAAGTTAATGGCGTCTATTTAACCTTTTAAGTTTAACATACCTTTTAATGTTAGGGAGGGCCAACATTCCAAAAAAAAAAAAAAATGACGTAAATTACATTTAGTAATTTATAATTATAATTAATTTATAATTTGTCTGTTCATTAATTTCTGCAAAATATCACACGTGTTTATTACTGTATTTCTTTCGTTATACGTTTTCTAATTTATAATTGAAGAGTTCAGATGCAAAAGCCTCTAAATGCCATTTGAAATTTTCTTCTTTAATGATGATTTTTATCAATCTTGTATATTTAAGTTCAGTAATTTCACTTAAATGACAATTAATAGGTACTCATCATTGCCATTTAAGTGAAATCACTGAACTTAAATATACAAGCTTGATAAAAATGATCATTCTAGAAGAAAATTTCAAATGGCACTTAGAGTCTTTTGCATCTGAACTCATCAATTGCTTCATTTATGTAATAGGAAGATGTGCAGCACGCTAATTTTGCTTATGTTTTCAGCTAACAAATTATACTCACCAAACACTAGCATTTCAGCATTTCATTTAACAACTTACGAGAGTATGGTCAAAGTAATTTTCTAGGGATGCCTCCTCATCCATGTTCCTTACGGATTTCCATAAAGTACCCTAAAGTTTCCCAGTCTCAGTGTTTCTGTAGCTGTGGATGTGATCTAATTGGCATCAAGTGTGGAGCCGTGTGGAGCTACTCACAAAGGCGTGACAAATCATGCCATCAAAACTCAGGAGTTAGTTCTCTCTAGGAAGCTCAAATAAAATATGTTTGTAACAAAACAACAAACTTACATTTTTGTTTGGCTTTTTGCGCTAACGGAAAATAACAATTTGAAAATACAAATATTTTGTAAGCAACGCAGTCTCCGGACAGTAGAGGGAGACAGACACAACGCTGTAAACAGTCACTGATGCGCATGAGCGGAAGACACATTAAACGTGAGGTGTGCATGAGCTGTCACAACAAATAATTTCAAACTATTAATGGTTAAATCAATGAATAGTTTTTCGTGTATAGATACTGTGATATGCATGGATAGAAAGTATATTATGTATATTTTAAGCTGACTGAGGCTTGTGAAAATCAACAGTCAATATTGGTTCCATAGAAACATGTGGATAGGGTTATGGATGCAGTTAAAGAATGCTTGAGGGATTTTCCCAAAGAAGCTCGGGGTGAGTTAATTTGCTGTCTATTGACATATTAACATAGTTAATAAATAATTTAACCAACCATATATAACCATATAATCATATCCCGATAGATAGACAGATCATTTACATGCAATATAAATCTACACAGTATCCATTTAAAGAATATATACACAAATATTTGTTGCACCAATATATATATATATATATATATATATAAACACAGTTTTTATCAATCTTCTAGCCACAGACCCCCAACATAGATGATTCGCATGTGAAGGACCCACATCCAAAAATGTAAAAGATAGCTATATATTTTTATGTATAAAGACCCAATTAAACTATGAAAATGTAACATTATAATTGTGTAAACAATTTAGTTTATATTAGCCCTCATTACATCATTATGTTTTTTACTCTCTGTAAGTTGCAGATGTATACATGCAAGATGCATTCCATTAATGTACTTTATATTAAAAATAAAAAATACAATTTAGTTAAATGTGTAAATGTATTATTTATTTATTTAAGTCTTATTTCATTTATTTTACTCAACTTATTTATTTACTAAGTTTAATCTTATTTAATTATCTTAAATTATAAATATATAAATACTGATTTTTTCTAAATCTTCCCACAGACCCCCTAGCACTCAATATATATATATATATATATATATATATATATATATATATATATATTTCAGGATAATTGGGATTAATAAATTGTTATGAAAACAATGTTACAATAATTTTTTATTTGTGCAAATTAAATTTTAACCCAGCATACTCCAAAACACAAGCCTTGTAATGACTTGTATATCATTGAGATTGTTATGTATTTTCTTCCTTAGAGCTTTATCTTAATGATGCAGTGCCATACCTAGATGGGCCCCTCTCTTCACTTCAGTTTTATCGTGACTGGATTGGACCCAATAAGCCTTGCATCATTCGCAACGCCTTCAGTGATTGGCCAGCTTTGTCTAAATGGAACCCCACTTATCTCAGGTGAGCCAATCAGATGATCAGATCAGCCAGAGACTTCTAACTTGCCCTGAAAATGTTTCTATGCAACCTTTTTTATATTTGTGCAGAGAGAAAGTGGGCTCCAAAGTCATCAGTGTGGCCGTCACTCCAAACGGATACGCAGATGCCATAAACGGGAATCGCTTTGTGAAGCCAGAGGAACGTCAGATGACCTTCACCTCTCTGCTGGATATCGTAGAGGGGAAGGTGACGAGCAGTGGTGTGTTTTATGTTCAGAAGCAATGCTCAAATCTGACTGAGGAGTTACCGGAGCTGACGGGAGATGTAAAGACTCATATTCCCTGGATGAGTGAAGCACTTGGTATGTCCACACATTTTACATTTCGTCTCTACCTGGAGAATGGTTGGTTGGAGAATGTCAAAATAATGTGTAATGTAGACTCTGAAATTGTTATTGTTTTTTTATATTTTGTTTTTCAGGAAAAAAGCCTGATGCTGTAAACTTCTGGCTTGGGGAGGAAAGCGCTGTCACGTCAAGTAAGTTCGTCTTACTTCTTCATAAACATAAAATATTATATATGTATATCCTTATCCAACAAATAACAAATGACCAGAAAAGTCATGTAACTCATTGTTTAAAAAGAGCAGGAACCTTAAAACTTCTGGAATCTTTAAAAAATAAATCTAGGAGCGCCTTTGAATATTGTTGTGCCCAGTAACCTTGAAATCAAAAAGGTTTACTGCTTATATATGTACCCATTTTTGTAAGTAAACACAGTTTTGTTGTATCTGTAGTGCATAAAGATCATTATGAGAATATATACTGCGTGATCTCTGGACAGAAAGAATTTATTTTACTTCCTCCGACTGATAGACCTTTCATACCATATGGTAAGGGGTTGTTTCTCTATCCTAATCTTTTATTTTGCTTGCTTAGCTTAACATTAAATGCTTTAGGATATAGCCTCATGACTCTGTCTATTGGAATTGTTTTATTTCCTCCTCATAGAGCTCTACCAGTCAGCGACATACAGACAGAAAGAAGATGGCATCTTTGAAATAGTGGATGAGGAAGATTCAAGCAAAGTGTTTAAGTTTATTAAAATTAAACTATTAAAATTTAATTTCATATTTTTCTATTAACTTTATAATTATGAATGTTATAAATAAATTTGATAACATTTATAAATATATATATATATATATATATATATTTCAATATTTTCCATGTCTCTTTCAGGTTCCCTGGATCCCTCTAGACCCTCTCAACCCAGATTATGAGCGATATCCCTCCTACAGGCTGGCTAAACCTCTGCACTGCACTGTGAAAGCTGGAGAAATGTTGTACCTGCCCTCCCTGTGGTTCCACCATGTGCGACAGTCTCACGGCTGCATAGCGGGTTAGTAATGTGACCTCCAACAGGATTGCTAACTTGCAGAGATGCACCGAAATGAAAATTCTGATCCGAAATTCAAGATGCATTTGGCCGAAAACCGAAAATAAGGAATAAATGAATAATCAATTAAAGAGCACCTATCATGGATTTTTGAAAATGACTGTTCATGTAGTGTGTAAGCTCTAAGGGAATGAAAACATCCTGCAAAGATTTATATTTGAAAGTGCACCGTATGTAAAGTTATTGTCTTTCAAAAGTGAGAGTCGACTCTGAGTCTATGAAATGAATTGTTTTTGAAACGAGTCATTAGCTGTTACATCGTGACGTAGAAAGGTCATTGGCCGCTCCCAACAACTGCGCGCGCAGACGGGAGTGTAAACTTGAAGTGACGTCTAAAACACATTCAAAAACTTCAGCTGAATCGCATCATGTCGAGAAGACGCTGTTTTCTACATTGGAAAGACAGTTCAGCCAATTGTTTTCATTGTCCAGGGACGAGCATGTGCTATGATAGGGGCTCTTTAATTAAACAAACTTGTTCAGTAATCAACACTCTAATAGCTAAAACATTAAAGGGTTAGTTCACCCAAAAATGAAGTCATTAATTACTCACCCCCATGCTGTACCAACCCCGTAAGTCCTTCGTTCGTCTTCGGAACACAAATGAAGATATTATTGATTAAATTTGAGAGGTGGATCACTCCTCCATAGGCTGCCTAAGGGATTGAAACTTGACGGCCTAGAAAGTCATTGAAGAAAATGTTTAAATATTCCATGTGACAACAGTGGCTCAACTATAAGTTTATCAAGCGACGAGAATACTTTTTGTGCGAAAAAACAAACAAACATCTTTTTCGTTAGCCAAAATTTTGGTGCATCCCTACTTGCATATTCTGTTCTGTGCTCTTATGGTCAATAATGTCAATAATCATGATTAATTATGATGTTTAACATGTTCTTTTTGTCTTGGCAGTGAATTTCTGGTATGACATGGAATTTGATATCAAGTACAATTACTTCCAGCTGGTGGAGTCCCTGACAAACGCTGTGGGATCACTATGAGGCTGTTATCACATAATATATCCTGTTCAAAGGTGACGATTATCAACAACTGGTGGCTTTATATGTGAAGATTCAAATACTTTTTTTTAGTGATATAGAATAAATATTGCAATAAACAATGCAGTTTACCATGGAATAAATACAGTTTTATTTGTTTGACTGAGAAAGAGATTTCAGATGATAGACTGTATAAACACTGAGAAAAGAAACACTTCACTTCGGTTTGGATCAAAAGGTAAGACAAAGTCACAAGTTTCCAAAAAGAAACAAGTTTCTTAGAAACTATGGGTCCATCTGTAATCCTACGTTGGCTAATAATCCTAATTGGCCATACGTTACACGAAAGCAGAGCTAGTCACCACAGAGATAGCGCTGAAAGATGATGTTTGCATGATTATTCATGAGGAGCAGGTCAAGCGTACAACCATGCATTCTAGGTCAGGGAGCAAGCCAGCCTTAAATTCTGCCATTCTTCATGCATACACTAATGTTGTGCGTTCATGCTGATTCTCACATAGTGCTTTTGTTACTGATGCAGTCCTACTGTACTGTTTTCACTTCTGCTACATCACTGAAGCCCTCTAGCTAGCTAAATCAAGTCTGTATATCATTTTTATCTCATGCATTTTAGTCTCTTTTAAAGCCATAGCACTTTTTATGAGATAGCAAATGAGAGCATTTGTTGGATACCAAATGGGTCTTAATAAATCTATTTTACTATAACACTGCCAGTGCAATCTGCCATTGTTTAAACCAGGTGTATATCTTGTTGTAATTGCACATTTTGCCTCTTTCATTGTTAATAAGTTTGTACCCACAATCCTCAAAATAATCAACAAATCAATAAATAGAATTTATGCATCTCAGACACCAGGAAAGTTGTAGCTGTACTAAACTAGTTGCAGTGTTGTTGACTTAAGCTGGGTGTACACTGTGCAAATTTTCTCTTTTTTAAATTTTGTCAGACTGTAAAAGGTTTATAAAAGGCAATGGTGACTGTGACATCACCTGTATGATATGCGTCTTTGGTCACGACTAATGGCATTGGCTGGGTGCTTACATTATTAATCGTGTCACATTCTGACATTTCATTCACAAAGAGCATGTCATGCTAATTTATCATACATTCAATTTTGCTCTTTGACAAAAATAATTAAGAACCCCGAATCGTACAGTGTGCACCTAGCTTTGGTGCGATTTGCATCAGTAGAAAAGCTGGACACAATAAAATATGTGCAGGTCCATCTATAAAAGTTACAGTACACTTAACATTACAATGCCTTCATTTGAATTTACGGCTTGTTTCCACCGAGCGGTACGATACAGTACGGTACGCAATTATTTCCGTTTAAATTGTCAGAAGTTGTGAACGGTACCAAAATACCGAACCTTGGCACAGTAGTCCGATACATAAAGGTTGGACCTAGACTCCCATCAAGTAAGGGTACTGTTGGCTGTGGAAACACAAGCCAGATCATTGTTTACCATCCCGAATCATACTGTACTGTACCGTAAGCTTAATAACAAAAAAGTGCCCTAATGTACATTATAAATATTATGGAAAAGAAGAATTGTTTCTAGCAGAGGTCAGAGAGGCAACACCTCAACCTAGTTAGCAAAGGATTGTGGAATACAGAGTGACTGTTTTGTTTATCTCTTGGGGAAATGAGAACACATCACATGACATTAGAAAATACCTTGAAGAAGTCATCACCAGAAAGCAATATGTAAAAATGCATTTCATTTCAGGACAAAAAACCTTTCTCATAATTTGTGCACTAAAGTTCAAGAAGCTTTTTCTATCTACTTGGCTATTGCATCTCCAGCAGTGTCACCAGAATGGTCAATTCAGTTCAGTGCTTTTATGGCAGTTTTGTTTCTGTTAACATTTGCAATTAGGGATGGACGACTTACAAATATCACTGATCATTTTGATATATAACCTGCTTGAATTACAAATGCCGGATTTATTCCTTTAAACAAATTGCTGGTCAAGATTAAGGCACCCGTATCCATGAGAAAGTTACCCTTCAAGTACAAAAAAAGTCCTGCAAATAATACAAAATCATCCTTCAGGTTTAGCCAATTTTTTCCTCTGGCACCCAACTGGGTCTCAGAACATTGACACTGTACAACAAACACACGTTGAAGAGTCTGCGACTCATTGACCTATCAATCACATTAGAATAAATACGATGTCCCATTGACCCAATTCAACTTCAGAGTATCAACACAAACACAAAATACAGTATAAAAATTCATTCCATAATAAAAGGTAAAATGGTGACAAATCTCCATTGCTAAGACTTCCAGGGATACCGGTCCCTGCATTGAGAATTATTTTTAAAATATCAAATACACAATGCTTGCCAGAGATTCCTCTGACCAACAACAGTTCATTTACTCTAACTGTATCCATATAAAACTGCATTTTGTCAAATTACTGTACCATGCAGTCAACAAACCAAGTAATCAATTATTGTCCTTGATGACATGTAGGTCTTTCAAAGGTTACCATGGCTAAAATATCCGGATACGTTTTTAGTAGCAGGGCACAAAGAGGTGAGAGAAATCAGGGGTGTGTTGCTGCCATAGTAGCATGCTAAATAGGGAGGTAGGATAGTGGCATTTCTTCTCAATCTCTTTATTAAAAGCTCCTCGCTATCTAAAACAGTCTGCTGTGCAGGGCAGTCTTCATGGCTTGGTATCCTGTTGCAGCCACAGCACACATAGTCAGATGTTGTTGTCCATCCTCTTCTCTACAGCACTGAGCAGCAATTTGGAGTACTGCTCTAGAAGCGCTAGTGTCCTGTCGTCACCCAATGTTGCATTACTGTTAGCCAGCATGGGCACCGTGAAAGTGCTAGGTGATCTCGAAGGAGTGCATGGTGGCAGGCAATTCAGCTCATCTCTCATTGCCTGAAATGCTTCGGCCAGCACGCGTGTCATTTCCTGCTGCTCCTCAGTGGAGTTGGTGGAGTTGCTTAGCTACAGGAGTGCATACATATGCAAAGTTAGAGTCAAGTCAGCCACACAAAACAGTTTAGGCAGACGTGTGGGCTGAAGTGCAGCCTACTCTACAATTACATGTGAATGTGACCTAATGATAACCTACCATTTTGTAGAGGTAGGAGGCTCTTTTAAAACTGCTCTGCAATTCATTGGCAACCAGTCTGCAAGAATCCACGCTGAGAGATGTGTCTGCAAATGAGAAACCGAACTCTGTTAGTCATAGTGAGTCTTAAAATGAGCTTTGCAACAAAACCAAGCAATTTTGACTGAGCATACAAAAGAGTGAAACTGAGAAGTATAAAGCATAGGGGATTATCACGCTTCCGGGTTTCATGGGCGGGATTTGTCAACTTTCTGCATGTCCACTTCCGACGCAGTTCAACAATGGCTGAGACGAAGGCTATATATGTCACTCTGTTCCAATTAGTAAATCTAACCAACAATGCCAACCCTACATATTGAGTATAAGGAAGAACTGGATTCAAACTTTAAAATAAAACAAGGTAGCGCGTTTGTTTGCAGCCGGCACTTTAGTGAATCAGACTAATTTACCAGGGATGCCGTATAAATAAACTTAGTGTAGTCCGTCATCAATTCAACGGAAGTGGCAGTGCACAAAGATCACTGAATCCGGAAGTCCTACGTATCAGCGTGATAATCCCCTATTGATAATGATTTAGAGTGATTTACAGAAGTATGCCATGGATTAACATCATTTGATTTTCATGGAACAACAATCACGCTAACCCTAACTAAAACTGGAGGAAAACGATTGATCTGAAGAGAATTGTTTCAGGACGTTATCCTAAAGATCAGAGGTTAATGATTGGTTTGGTAGGAATGTTGTTCCATGTCCATTCTTGCTCTAGTACCCCTTTTTCACCAAGGCAGAGCTGGTTGGGAGCCAGAGCTACTTTCAAATCGGTTCTTTGTTTATCGACCACCAAAGCACCAGCTACGAACCATTAAAAGTGGTTCTTAAAGGGATACTCCCCTTTTTTGGAAATAGGCTCATTACCACTCCCCCAGAGTTAAAAAGTTGATTTTTAACGTTTTCGAATCAATTCAGCCGATTTTCCGATATTTAGAAGAATATCAGTATACAGACAGTTCCTGGTGTCATTGACTTCCATAGTATATTTTTTTCCTAAAATTCGAAAACGGTAAAACTCGACTGTTTAACTCTGGGGGAGTGGTAAAATGAGCCTATTTCCAAAAAAAAGTGGAGTATCCCTTTAAGTAGCACCAAATCATTGCTGGTCTAGAAGTAAGAACCGCTTACGTCAGTGGCTGGGGGCGGGTTTACCGTGACCAACAAGACGAAAAGAAACTTGTGACCGGCATTTTTTTTAAATAGCAGCTAATCATGCTAATAGCAGCTCGATTGTAATTTCCGTTAATGCAAGTTACGGCGAGCTACACGGATGTGCTGGATTCGCCGTGTTTGGATACCGATGTAGGTTTGCAAAGCCATGAGCATAAATAGTAACACAAAACCGTCCGCCATTGTTGATGGAAGGCTTGTTCGAGATGCATCGGAGCAGCGTGGACTGATCAGAGCTGCGGGAGTGTTTGGAGAGTTTAGAGAGTTTGGAGAGTTTTTCTAATGTTTTTTCGAATCGCTCTCGCAGTTCGAGATTCACATTGCCGAACCATCTCGAACAGGCCTGGTGTGTTTGTGTGTGCCCCACTAGCGTTGCTGGGCAACATGAGATGTATACATTGAAGTAAGATCTGGCTCTGTGATGGCTCTCTAGCCTGTGGAAAGGCAAACCAGTTCTTTGAAAGCTCGAACCAACTCCGAACCAGCACTAGCTCTAGCTCTGAACCAGCACCTGGTTCTTGTTGGTGGAAAAGGGATATAGGAGGGTCACTTTCTTGCACAATTTAACTCCAATTCCAACCTTAGTTTCAAAGACCTTTAATGGGTTCTGGTATGTTTAACCAGGGTTGTAGCTAAACCCTAAAGGAAGGTAGACCTCCAGGAGTAGGATTAGACACCCTTGACCTAACTCAGGGAGGTCTAATCCTGCTCCTGAAGGGCCACTTTCCAAAGGAATGCAGGTCTAGCCCTAATTAAATGCACCTGAAACAGCATATCAAAGTCTTCAAGATCACTAGAATCCTCCAGGCAGGTTTAATGGAGCTAAACTCTGCAGAAAAGTACCCTAATATTAGGACAATAATCAGTTGATAGGAATATTGTTCCTTGTTATAAATATAAAATTTGATGGCAATATTTCGTTGTAGTAATGTTATTCCAACAAAGCTTATTGCATGCATGCATGACATGTACACACATTTTACACTATGAATTACAGTTGATGCTTTGAGGATCATCCATGTCTTTGGTTTAATGAAGAAAGTTTTAGCAAGTAAAATAACCCCCGGTTTCACAGACAATGCCTAAGCCTAGACTAAAATGAATGTTTGAGCAGTTTTAAATGAAAACAACTTGAACTGACATATCTTAAAATGCACATCAGTAATGTTTTTTTTTCTAAAGCATGTTTATAAAAGCTACTTAAAAGTCCTAACTAAACCTAGGCTTAATCCAAGCCCGTCTGTGAAACCGGGCCTAAATGTGTAAACTTGGCCCATAAACTGGTTGAGTACCACTGGTTTAGAGGGCGGATGTTACAGCAAGTGTTAGTAAGGGCATGCCTCACCCTGCAGGTGGTACTGATTAATGGATGGAGAGGGTGAAGAGGAGATGAAAGAAGTGATGGAGGAGGTGGAGGATGAGCGAGGCCAAAGCCCTTTTGTAAACAAGTGTTTAGACAGCCCAAGTCGTAGCAGAATGGAAGATGGAATGAGGGATGACTGATTTCCCAGCAAACCTGAGTCTTGAGCTCCTAAGGAAGACTGTAGAAGACTTGTGCTGCACTGACTCGTGGAAGAGCCCTCAACCTCAGGGATATCCTCTTCTTTTGGCTCTGTGTGCGAGGGAAGTTCACCTTCCGTTAAGTTCGTGGGCTGGCTGGGAATAAGTACCATACTGAGCTCAATCTGGTCTGGGGTTTCAGATGGGCTCAAACCAACAGCTGTGACCGGCTGTAAGATGCTGTTGGGCAAGTGAACTGCTTCAGGAAGTGAAGGAGGAGTTGTTGGGGTCCTACTCGAGGAATCCTTTTCCTTTCGTTCAAGACTGGGGTTCTTGCTGCCCGGTGAGAGGGAAGACAATGAGAGTTTATCAGGAAGAGGATTGGGAATGTCTATATGGAGCAGGGGTCGAGCACTGCCGGTCAGTTTGACCTGGAGACCTTTAAAGGAAGAGTTTCCACTTGGGCCAGCGCTCAGTGTGGGTACGACTGCTGCATGGGGCGTGTAGGGGCCTGGAAAAGGGGATGCCAAAGTATTAAAGGAAGACACATGGTTAACAGGAGAGGTGGGCTTGCTCTGGGAGGAGCTCCGAGGGTTTGAAACGTCAGAACCTGAGCTCCTGCGTGGTTCTGAAGATCCTGTGTCTTCTCCTAGTTCCACCTCATTCAAGTTATCGCCCACTGAAACAGAGCGGGAAATCTTGGCCATAGAGCTAGTAGTAGGACTCATATAGGAACGGGATTTGGACTTCGTAGGCGTAGTGATGTCCCTGGGCAGGGTAGTGGTGGGGCTGGTGAGTGGGACGGTGGGAAGGGAACGCCGTGGTCTTTCAGAGGTCTGGGGCTGTGGGTGGACTTCCTTAGAAGGACGACTGGATATCTGGACAATATCAGCTGATCAGAAGAGGGAGGGAACAGTTGATTAATTTGAGAAAAGAAAAATCTCCAAGGAAAATATTACTTAAGATATAACTTTTTAGTTAATGGCTACACCATCAAGTAAACTTAAACTTTTCTTGAAACCAACCTAAATTAAATATATATATATATATATTTCTAAGACCTGGACATTTTCAAACTAGATTTTTCCTTCATTCCTTCATTTTCTTATGCCACTAACCCATGAATCACCCAACTAGGTTATCTTTAACCACTTTTTTTTAATAAGCATTGTACAAAGCAACTTTCAGTACATCTATACAGGGACAGACTCCCTGGGGCAACTAATATAAAACAAAATCCTGTATTTTGTAGCGCAATTTCATGGATGCTTTACCATCTGAGGAGATGTTGTGGATAGATTGAGCTTTCCTCATGCCCGCAGAACTGTTGTAACTAGCGGCAGCTTTAGCAACGGGGCTGATCATTCTGCGGGAGTCCATGACAGGTGTGCGTTTCTTTTGGATTAAACGCTGACCTGTTGTCCTCTCAGAGCCCTGGGGTTCCTGCTGTTTGCTTGGACTCTTATTCTCCATGAGGGGCCGTACCTCTGAGATAAGGGGCCGCACCACTCCACTGGTGGTTTTACTGTCAGTGCTTTTGTTTGTGGGGAATGAGAATGCAGTTCTAGTAAAAAAAAAAAAAAAGGAAGACCAAAGTCATGTTTTTCTTCTCAGAAGTCCAAGTCAAAGTTGGAAGGGATTTGACTGTCTTACCTGTTAGTGGAGTTCTGAGAAAGGAACTTCGATGACATGCTGTCAGAGATATTTGGAGTTACTCTGGTTGGACTTTCTGCCAAAAAAAAAAAAAAATATTGAGAACTCATACTTACAATAAAGACAATTTTGTTAAGAAAATTGTGAACATGACTAACACCCTACCAGGTTTGTTGAGGTCCGACAGGTTTGCAAAATGCTTCTTTAGAAAGGCCTCCTGGTCTGGGGTCTGAGGTACAGGAGTCTGAACCTCATTCTTCCTCAAGCTATCCTCCTCTTCCTCATCAAGATCTTCCATATCCAGTTCTGATGAGTTTCCATCTACACTCAGTGGCTCAGTCGGTTCAGAGTCTACAGTGAACACATAGAAACACGCAATCCTTTATCTCATCAAGGATATGTATTGCTTTAACAAAATGGCTGTCTGTCTTCTAGTTTCATTTTCTCTACCTTCTCCAGGGTGCTCAGGGCTAGAGAGAAGACTGCTGGAATAATCCATAGAGCAGGCACTGTCTGGACTCTGCTTCTCAGAACAAGAGTTCACTTTAGCACATCTCGCTCCATGGGGCAACTTTTTCACCTGATACTCACTATATACAAACAAAGACAAGGGAGTGGACAGACATTTGAGGATCATCTCAGCAGGGTGTTTTAGATCATCGTATTTGGACTGCACAATACAAGGAATATTCCAGCCAAACATGGACATCAGTTATTCAGCCTCATGTTGTTTGAAAAACTCCATGACTTTCTTTCTTCTGTGGTAAAAGATCTTTTGAGAAATGTCTCCAATGGGCTTCAATGTTTTTGTTCCAAGCATTCCTAAAAAGTATCATCTTTTGTATTCCACAGGAGAAAGAAAGTCATGTTTGGGACTACATGGGGTGAGTAAATGACAGAATTTTCATTTTTGTGTGGATTAAACACTGACTCACTGACTATAAAAATAAATTGGTGAGAAGTTTTTTTTTTTTTAACTAACCTGCCTGCAAGACTGATTTGATCTTCACATCCCTCAGGATACAGGACCTCTGTCTCTGGAGTTTGAGCAGACAGCTGGATGTAATGAGGACGTGTTTTATCTCCTGGTCCATTCTCTTCAGGTACCTACAGAGAATATACAAGTCAAAATGGTACAGAACAGACAAAGAGGTCTACATTGAGAAGCACACAAATAAACATTTTTGGCATTGATTTCAGAGCAGTTTTGATTCTCATTTAACTCCTGTGTTCTACAACCTGTCGCAGAGACTACAGCATTATTTTAATGAGATTCTACTTTGGTGAATGCTGTTTTTTTAACCTTCAAATGGTCTTCGTTTCCTGTTTACACTTCTGGGCTTCGGAGTCTATACGACCCCAACAATTGATTAATTGTACAAAAAATATACATTTTTAATTTTATACATTGCATTTATACTCTAGTACTAGGCATTCATTTCTGTGTAAAAATTCTCAGATTTTAAATTTTTTTTACATACCTTCAGAACAACCGAATCAAGCCCATTTTTTTGTGTGTGTATAGATAGATAATGTAGGAAAAGTCACAAAATCTTATTTTTTTTATTAAGTACAAGTCGATTGGGGTCGTATCAGACCCCATGACCTGATTGAGGGCTACATAAATTTGTCAATTTTATAAATTTCATGCAAAAACTAAATTGTTTTTGGTTAGTTCAAACTGCAAAATGGAGGAGATTTATCCCCAAGTCTGTTTCTGTGAGACTATATTGGACATTATATCACATTAGATACAAAGATACAAGTGTATACGTATGTTTAGCTTATTTTCATATAAAACTATAGCTAGTCGTTGAAGGATTCTGTATCTCACCCATGCAGCTATGGT